TCATTGTTTAAATTAATAATTTTGGTGTAAATTTAATTTGGGTGTATGTTTCTCTGGTCTACTTCAGATTTTAGGTAGGTAATCATGTATGACTTAAATCAAATGAACATGAAGCAACACAATTAAAATAATTGTGTAAATTTTTTACCTACTCGTTTAATTTGATCTGAAAGTCCTGGAATAAATGGAATGAAACGGTTCGTAATAGGTTTATTTTGATTTTGTTTTGTTCGTGGGAATTCAATTTAAACAATGAGATTAAGTCAAAATCACATAACTGACAATTTGCACAGACGAATTATCAGAGCGAATTTTCATAGACTGTATTATCCTACTGTTGTTACACAATTTATTAACATACTCTTTTTTAGGTTCTTTTGATAACGATAGCAGAAAATAGCTATCGAAACGTCAAGGCAATTTTCCAAATTAATTTCTTTACTGATTGGAATTTTCTCTTACAGGACGCAGGATACCCTCTAGGTGATAGTTCTTGATAAATAATTCGTTCCTATTGCGAAATAGGAGCACTATTTATCAATCTGTAATAAAAGACGTGAGGAAATTCTGTCTTTTTTAAAGACAAAAATTTTCGAGGCGAAATACCCAAAAAGAAGTTTGTAAAAAATGAATCCGCCTCAATATAGAACTTATCTATAACAAACTTTGTTCATTTCAGTATGATTCATCTTAGTACGTATTATTTAAAGCTCTTCATTTTTTTACCTCTTCACGTTTTACTTTTCCTGAATTTGTGGCCTCAGTGGCCCCTCATATATTTTACTACGCCACTTCCCCATCAGAAGCGAAGCCGTAAAAAATCGGGAGTGGTGCGTTTAATTGCCATTTATTACAAATATGAAATGTGCACTTGGGTGCGAAACAATCGAGTAAAAAATATTAAATGTACGTAGGAAACAACTTAAAATAATACTTGCTGAGCATACCATGCAGGAATATTTCAACCCGTACTTTGCCCTATATTCGGTCATTTGTTCGATATTTTGTTACCCGAAGATTTTTATGCTAAGATGACGTATTCGTTTCGGGTTGGAAGAACTGTGTGCGATAAGGTACCATGATGGATTACCTACCTAAAATAGCGAATAAAGGCGAAATACCCCCCGCGCTAGTTCATTGGTTCCAGTTCAGTACTTTGGGGTTGAGTATTTCCATTATTGGTCACACCGAGATTCTGCATTTGGATGCCATCCGGGGCATCCCCACTTTGGCACATACACAAGTAAACAGTATCCAACACCATCTGAAATGGGCAGGTTTGTGGCATGGTTGCCTGAAGAATCGTTCAACTCTTACCTCATACAGTGAGAGCACGCAATGTGCGACAAAGAAAGCGAAGATGCAAACTAGCAGAGTGGGGGCTGCGTAGAAACTCAGCTGCGGATTCCTTCTGAATAGAGCCAAGCCCACAACGCCCGTCACGGCAGTTACAAAGCATTTGCCTAGGAAGAGGATGAAGTCGCCCAGACTGTTAATAGTCGCCACTTGGAGTGCGTGAGACGTTAACACTTCAAAGGCCTTGAAAGGTTCAGAACTGTAGGTGGCATAGAACGTAATTTAAGAACAGCAACGACCTACCGTTCCTGCTGCTTTGCAGAAATTGGAGCCATCAATGGCAATGACGGTGTACGCATTGTGATTCAAATACCTAATAAATTTCTCCAAGCAGTAGAAGCAACAAATGCAACATTTCAAGCCGCAAGAGGCACATTCGTTGCCTTTTTCCTTATTTCTTGTGAACCTGAAAAGTCAATGGATTTTATAGCAACAGCGGAGTAACCGCGCTCTAACCGTTCATGCAGATACATCAGAAGCAGCCTTGGTATTTTAAAGATGGTGATGATCAACGATCCCAAAGCCACCGATCCTAAATGGTACTTGATGAGCTTGCCGATCGAGTAGCACACATGATCGTTACTCTTATATTTGTGCCGATAGAACCAATGGGCCACCGCCCCAGCTATCACCATCTGTTGGCATGCCATGATGAACTCGGACGTCCAGATTAGTCCGATAAAGTAAACCCACCACATCCCCTTTATCCAGCCGGCATCCACGTATTCGACTACTTTCAGATCTAGAAAAGCGATTAGCAGAGCCTGTTTGGCGACAAACTTTAGCAGCACCTACTGGTTAGCTTCTCCACAAAGGATATGTTTCTTTCATTCGAGTTGGCCGGCGGTGGCGTAAAGGGCCCCGAGCCAATCGATCCTTTTCCATCAACACGAACCCCAGAAATCACTTCTGTTCCCGGGTAGCTTGCCGTAGCCAAACACAGCTACATATATATCAAATACTGATTTGGGATGAAAATTAGGGATTATTTGAAATACTTACCACTACAAATATCCAAAACATAAAAAACATTGCAAGAAAAAAGAAAGTTAACAGTGGTTGGAAGAACAGGCCGGGCAGATGCATGAGGCACTTGGACGTCTCTTTGAATAAATTGGCCAAAAAATCAACTTGTTTCCTCATGAATAAGACGATCAACAGAATGACCACCTACAACAACAAACTTGCCAATGATCAGCTGAATGCCAATGTGACTTCAACAAGCACTTACTGTTATAACAGTAGCTACAATAGCATACCAGAAAAAGGCGGTTTCATTGCGTACAGATTCCACTAAAAGGCTGTACTTTTCCAATTGCTCAGTCCGATCCAAACCCCTTTTAATATCAAAGTATGTGTACCATAAATAGGCTGTGCCTCCTATACTAGCAATACTGAATCCAATCATAATGAAATAGGAAATGATGTGCGCCAAACAGTGCAGAATTGTGATGGTCAATAATGAAATCACTAGAATTAATGTAAAAAACTATATGCCTACCACAACTCAAAAGCTTCACACTTACCCAAAGACAATACTGCAAGCCCTAGGATTTCCTGCCAAGTGTGGTACAGGTCCCTTAAAATCTGCTCTAAAGTGTCCCAGCCATTGAGCAAATCATAGAAATTGCTCAGAATAGCTTCTGCTACTTCCTTCACATGTTTGGGCACACATCGACTTAAAACGGGTTTCCTGACGAGAAAAACAAACTGAATTAAGTAATCTTCGAAAAGTAATATACGAACCCTTCAAACACTGGAAGGGTAGGGCAGGGCCCTAAAGGAGCAGACAATAGTTTTTGGTCAATCTTATTGCTCTTCAGGTCCTCATAGTTGAAGTTGTAAATGCAGACATCAACGCCTGCACGGTGGTAGTTGTAAATATCAGTAACGGAGTCCATTGTCTTATTAGGGCATTCCTTGACGCATATCTTAAGGGACTCTCCCAAGTTTTTTATGTCGTAGAATAGAAGGTATGGCTTGTCCGAGGTGTCCTGTCCCGAGAGTGATACATTTCCCATGACCCGATTGTGCCTGGTTCCACAAGTATTTCCAAATGAGTCATAGCCATTAATAATTCTGATCGGATTGCCATAGACGAAAGAGAACGCAGCAATTATCACCTACAAAATAAAAGTGGCCCAATTAGAATATTTGGGGCAAAGACACTTGTAGTTTTACCATCAAAAACCAGAACAAAATATAGAGAATTAACCATAGAACATCTGTGCATGTTCTCTCTTCTGTCTCTTCAGATTCCTTCTCCTTCGAGTCTGCACAGCCCATGTTTACAAACAAATACAATTGAACGGATAACAGACGGATAAAACTCTGTTTGCTTACATCAAATTAGTGTCATTTTTGACATAACTGAGATTAATTGACATAGTCGATAATCCAGGAATCTGCTGTAAAAATGGCGGTCTTACGAAAGAGTACAGAGAGGGAGAATAGATTGGCCCATACATAGTAACTGGCTCCTTGCTTAAAAGTTACATTAATCAAAACAAACTTCTATTTATCTCGTCTTTATCCATGGTCGTCTGTTCCATCTCGGAGCAGCTAAACAAATGAAGAGTCCAACGTTGCCATTTACCACGACTGGTCATTTCTAATCTAACGCCACGTTTATTCGTTGGCAGGTTTGACCAGGAAAAAACTACTTTTATTCCTAGACCCCAAATTTAAAATGCCGCCTTTGTGTGTGACTAGCGGAAAAGTATTTTTAACTCATACTAATCGTAATAGGCACAAAAAAGTATTGTATTTTTAACAAACCAATTAAAAAAAAACAGAAAAAAAAACGCTTACTAACCCAAACAAACCCAACCCTTCGCTTCTTCAATACTTGAAGTTTTTTGAGAGTTCACTATCTTTAGCCGACGATTTCTTCCTCAATTTTGATCCAAATACTTGCACGGCTAATCTTGAATGAACAGTTTTTTTCAGTTCAACATTCGGTGGTTTCCCTATTGAGCCCATCTACAGTCAAAAGGATAAACGAGCCATTAAAGCAAAAACAATTTATTATTCATACTATCGAGCAAGTAGTCATTTGGCAGGTACAAAGCCTTTCAGTGAGAAGGCGTGACTTTCCAACATGCTAGAAAGCAGGTCCTTTTTGTGGCTCTGGTCGTCATACTTGGAGCCAACTGCCCACAGAGTGTCCAGATCGTATTGGGCTCTGGCTGATTTCGAGAAAATGTGTAACGCGATATTGTCCATGTCCATGGCCATCCAGTCGGACGAGTTTTTTCCTTCCAACGTGGGCATGATGTCAGTTTGAAGCTTCTTTTGCTTGTATATTTGCTTAACAAATTGCGTGAGGGCATTCATATGCCTTTGCGACTTGCTTGATGCCACCACTATGTAGTCGACGTAACCGATTTCCTTTGGCACACTGGCCACGAATATATCTTCGGCCTGCTGATGCTTTAACGTCTCCACTAAGTCTTCTATGTCGAACACCCCATCTACGCCCCGACTGAGGTTCAAATCTCCAAATTTATTGGACTCTTCCTCCTGTTCTTCCAGCAGTTGGGCATATTTCTTCAGTCTTTCTTTGTATACATCAATTATAATCTCGGTTTCCTGTTCTTCTTGTCCGGAAATCGGATCGTCCTTGATACCGGTTGAATAGCGACAAGCTACTGCCGTGGGTTTTATTATCGATCTCACCAACTGGGTCCAAGTTCTACTTAAGTTGCAGCTGAACATATTTTGCCCAAGAAAAGAGAATAATTACACTTTGGGGCCTCCTTTCGCAGGTTAGTATCACCATGACTCACAGGTTAGGTCCCAAATCGCAGAGGTTACTCTGTGATCTTTGGGCAAATATTAATATCACGCGGCAACAGCGCACGGCGTCCCGATCAGTTAATAAGGAGCGGCTCGCAACGATATAAACAAACAAAATTAAATTTAAATAACCATGTTAACTTAGCAGCAGACTTTTAATAAAATTGAAATTTTCAGACCGTAAAGTTTGCACGGAAGTTCTTATTTCGCTAGAAATATAGAAATTTCTTTTCTAACGTTGGACTGGACTGGACACATTCAAGTCAAAACGTGGTCAGAAATAAACCAAACCTCTTCACTTTTTAAGATTTGACACTTGACACGATACCTGACATAACATTAGATACTGGCAACGTTGTATTGCAGGGGGGCAACCAATAGACGTTCGTATCAACAAATAAACATTAACCTGCAATTGTACTTTGATAAATAAATAACAAAGCTAAAGAATACCAGCGCCCAATAGAACAATGTCTGCCAGTTCTTCAGTATCATCGTCTCCCTATCATGAAAAATACCACTTCAAAAACCAATACGAGGACTACTCAGAGGATAAGGCAAAGCCCTACATAGACAACAACGCTGTAAGCCCAATCAGCCGCTTCGCTGTGGCTTTATTACCCACATACTTGTTACTTTAGGTGAGCACAACAAATAGAATAACTGCGAAGCTAGCGGCCAAATGGGGCTCGATGTTGGACGAGCTGAAGGATTGGACGTCAACCGACTACTCAGTTTATACGGGAACTGCCGGTGTGGGGCTGCTGTTTTTCAGAAAGAACCCCAATGATACCCGGAATTTGAGAGTATGTTTGGTGTACGTGTTTATCTCTCCTCTAATTAAGTAATTTTTTCCAGAATATACGGAAACAGTACTTGCAATTGGAGCAGCTGAAAAACAAACGCGTAACGTTTCTATGTGGGGATTGTGGGCCTTTGGCCCTTGGGGCCATTGTTTCCTATAAACTAGACGATCAAAAGATCTACAACTTCTGCATTAGGAAGTAAGTGGTTTCGTTAGCACCGACTCCAATTGGAAAAAACACGTTTTCCTTTCTAGGCTCACTGCCTTTATAAAAGTGGTAAAAAACTCCAGCTCGGACTTGCCCAACGAATATTTGTATGGACGAGCAGGATTTCTCTACGCCCTTCTGTTCGTTAATCGACACGTTTCCCCTGCCCCATTTTCTGATGCCGCAATCACAAGTGTACGCGTATTTCCATGCCCATTTCATGAATTTACCTGCTATTGTTTGCAGATCGTGTCGGCCATGCTGCATTCGGGCGAAAAACTGGCAAAGCATTTGAAGATTGAAAAAGAATGCCCGTTGATGTTCCAGTGGCATGATTCCCAGTATTTGGGCGCAGCCCATGGAGTATCCGGCATTATCTACCTCCTTCTGCAAGCGCGAAAGTACCTCACTGAAGCGGAGTTGACCAACCTCATCAAGCCCACTATTTCTTTCCTATCCACGTTGAGGTAGTCAAACAGGGCGCAATTAACGACAATACAGCTGCCCATTCCAGGTTTCCCACCGGGAATTTTCCCTCCTCGCTCGGCCCTGGTAAGCAGGACAAATACGTTCAATGGTGCCACGGCGCTCCAGGATTCCTATACATGTACTGTGAAGCTTACAGGGTAAATATCACGAGTATATATCCTCCCAATTTATTGTGTATGTATTTACAGTCGCCAGATTACTTTATTTTGCCGTCTTCAAATACAGATAAAAAAATAAGCTGGCAAAGCCCTGTCCTAACATTGCAGTTTCAGACATTTGGCGACAAACACTATATCTATGCGGCGGAAAAATGTGCGGATGTTATTTGGTTCAGAGGCATCTTGAAGAAGGGCTACAGTCTGTGTCATGGTGTGGCCGGGAACGCCTACTGTTTCCTGGAAATGTTCCAGACAACAAAGGTAAGCGCTTTCCGTCACTCTTGCAGCCTAAATTCATCTTTTATGGCTCTCAGGATGAACGGCATCTGTATCGCGCAATCAAATTTGCCGAATATTGCTTAGACTATACAAAACAGCGCGAGGAATGCACCCCTGATCGTCCAATGTCGTTGTACGAAGGCATATCTGGACCGATGTATTTGCTATTGGATATCCAGGATCCTTTGAACGCTAAGTTTCCTGGATTCACCCTTTAGGCACTCGGCTAATGGTCTGAAACACCATGAAAACTGTTTTTAATGCCTTCATTTTTTTGGGATTTAATTGCTGTGTTGGCCTTGCCTTAAACTAGTTAAGGACTTGAGTTTCCTAACTATTCAGTGTCAAATAATTGCTGAAACCAGTATTAGTCATTGTGATGTTTGCACTTTTGATAAGCCACCGTAGTTTTATTGCATTATGGAGGGTGATTCAACACTGGTCATTCCTCTGAAGGTGTTTTAGTACAGAAAAACTAATTGTTGTGTAAACACCCTGTATATTTATTATGCAGGGTTATTCACGCTATTCGGCACGGAAGTTTGCGGCTAAACCGTTTCATTTTTAAAAAGTATTATTTTATTTTATTTGTCAGTTTAGACTGCAAAGTCTCTTTTTGATAGCTAGAGTGGCATTGTTTTTTGTAATTGTAGACGTGTTGGTCGTTATTTTAATATTCTTATTGTGTTGCTAAGTGAAAATGAAGAATTATCCAAGAGAAGAGCGTATT